TAAAGAATGCTTTCAGCACCTTGTTGAATCAATGCCACGTAGAATTAAGGCAGTTCTGAAGGCGAAAGGGGGTCAAACACCGTATTAGCATGGTGTTCATAATAATCCTTTAGGTGAGTGTATTAGCGGATTAACTTTATATTGTAAATGAAAACCATGCTGCAGGTCCAATAAATAAAATATTGATCTCCTCGCCACTTGAGAGCTACATCAGGTGGACAGTAAAGTTCAGTTATTAGCAGACTTTTATTGTGTGATCCTTAAAAGGACAGCATTAACATGCTCCCAAGGGGATAAAGTACTTTCCCTTACAATACATTTAGCTTATTACACAACATTTACGTAGTTTTACAGAACGTGTCGACACTAAAATTCCACATTGATGCATTTTTATAATCGACATTGTCGAATAATCGTCCCAGCCCTAGTGCAGCATTTCGGCGCATTTTCCGGCCGGCGTCGCGTGAGCGTCCGACAATTCCTGACCTATTTCACATACTTGAATTCCTGCTTCGTTAGGGGACGCTGTGCTGTTTTTATATTTTATGTATCATACAGAATAATAGAGTGCAGACTAAAGTGCAGTTTGGTCCCCAGCGAGTCTCTCAGCGCGGCGTGTCTCACAGCGCAAGGGGCAGCCGGAGCACCGCAGACTCGGGCGGCTACATGAGTATATTGGGAATAAAATGTGTGTATTGGAGCGAGTTCTGTGTTAGTGAGTGTGTGAGGTGTGACAGTGATAATGATGGAGATGCTGGGCTTCATAATTATTCACTCTTCCTCTTGCCTACAGACTCCTGCCAGCTGACGCTGGACCCCAACACAAAACATAGAGTCCTGTCTCTGTCAGAGGGGAACAGGAAGGTGACATGGGGGGCAGAGCAGCCATATCCTGATCATCCAGAGAGATTTGACTACTGGCCCCAAGTTCTGTGCAGAGAGGGTCTGACTGGTCGCTGTTACTGGGAGGCTGAGTGGAGAGGAGATGAAGCCCTGATAGCAGTGACTTATAAAGGAATCAGGAGGAAAGGACGGAGTGCTGACTGTGGGCTTGGAGCCAATGAAAAATCATGGATGCTATTCTGCTCTCCTCACAGTTACTATGTCTCTTACAATAATAAACGGACTGTCATACCCATAGAGCCTCCAGGCTCCCGCAGAGTAGGAGTGTATCTGGACTGGGCAGCTGGTACTCTGTCCTTCTACAGAGTCTCCTCTGATGGACTGACCCTCCTGTACAGCTTCACCTCCTCATTCACTGAACCCCTCTATCCAGGGTTTGGGGTTTTTTCTCCAAACTCCCCCGTGTCCCTGTGCATGCTGGGATAGTTCACTGTGTGCTGGAGGAATCATTTTTACTTTATCAGTGTCACATGCACCTTTGTGACTTTGGACCCGGAAACAGCTTTGTGACGTCACGACTAAACAAGCGGATTGCCGCTCCCGGCTGTCACGTGACTCAACGGCGCCAGGCAAGCAAACAGGCTCACTTGCGCGCCCGCACACAGGCTCACTTGCGCGCCCGCACACACACACACACACACACAGTATAATATTCATAAAAAAGTATCGTAATAGTGGGTCGCTGAGCCTTGCTTGCAATCATAGGCGTCGCTGCTATTAAATCAGAGGGGGTCAGAAGGAAGGGGGGGTTTGCAGCTGGGCCTGTCAATCATCAGTGATGACGTCATAGGTGGAAGGGGGCTTTTAAGCCCCGCCCAAGGTACCAACTAACCTCTCTACTGACTCTCTCCTGGACCCAGTACAGTTTGTCTACAGAGCTAATAGATCTGCCGACGGTGCTGTCAACATGGCCCTCCCTGCATGCATCTTTGTACATCTTTCGTCATCTGCTGGACATCCTGTATTTTCATACCTTTATATTCCAATATGCAATATATCTCTGTTCCCCTTAAATGTCCTTACAATTATATTGCACAGCTTGCCCTATTTTATTCCTGTTTTATTTTATTTCTACTTATTTTCCTTAATTTATATTCTTGTTCTACTATGTTATTTGTGAATAACAAAACAAATTCTTAGTACATGAAGTTATACCTGGCCAATAAAGCAAATTCTGATTCTGACTGATCACACAATAGAGACGCCCTGTACCAGAAGGGCCGTCTCCACCTGCTGAGAAGACTGAGATCCTTCACAGTGTGCAGGAGACTTAAGGACTTTTCAATGACACTGTAGCAGCATCTGCAATATTCTATGCGGTGACCTGCTGGGGATGCGGGAGCTCAGAGAGGGACAGGAAGAGACTGAACAAGCTGGTCAGGAGTGCTGGCTCTGTCCTGGGCTGCTCCTTGGACTCCACTGAGGAGGTGGGTGAGAGGAGAGTGTTGACCAAACTTACATCCATCATGGACAACCCCTCTCACGCCCTGCACATGACAGAGGGAGCATCACACAGCTCCTTCAGCAAAGCTCCTTCATGTAAGAAGGAAGGCTTCCGCTGACCTTTCATTTTGTCGGCCATTAGACTTTATAACACATCAGTGAGCAGTGTGAGAAGGTCACAATTTTGTCCACAATTTTTGTATATACTTGTATATTTATATTCACCCAGTGTATCTGTAAATGTGTCATTCATCTGTGCAATTACCCTCGTGCAATTCCCCTACTGACTGTCCACTATGCATGATTGTTCTTACACTGCGCAATATCCACTGTATAGCCTACATGCAACTTCTATATTTACATACATATCTGTATATGTATCATCTATGCAACTACCCACGTCATGTGTGCAATATGAGTAATTGTGTGAGTTTTTCATTGTTTTTCTTTCTTTTTTCTATTTTGTTATAGTAGCTTTTGGTTTGTTTTTTTTCCTATTGCTGTTTTATTTCTTAGGCTGTAGTATCAAGTACATGTCCCCGGTCTGGGATCAATAAAGTCTCATCTTATCTTATCTTATCTTATCTATCCTTCCATCTATCTGACAATCCTTCCGTCCGTCCATCCACTGAACTGTTACACCCTCCTTTCACTTTCATGTGCTCTGTCCCGCCTT